CGGATGAATCCTTGCTGAGCTTTCGTCCGTCATGTGACGGACATCGTCAGGACAGGACACCATTTTTTACGATACTTCCATATCTCATGATTTGGTTGGGGATCCTGTTTGTTTGTTTATAAGTAGAGTTTCGAAACTACCAACAAATTCGTTATATGAGACATATTCACCCAATCTTGTTTAAGGTGATAATACATCTCATAAACCCTATGCTTTGCCTAAATGTATGCTGAAAAGTTAAGTTAAGTGGCTACAAACGAAGCGTGAAGCGGACGCAATTGTGACCGAATGGCTGCATTCTCCCATAAAACATTTATTCCTGTGATTCTGCAATGTTATCACATGTGATTGAGTTCCATTGCACGTGTGCCTTGTGAATGTATTGTCCTTGAAATCAGTATGATGTGATATTAAAACCAGCACCGCGTCTGATCAAGTCCCCTCTTTCTGACTCGGTGGTACTTCTCCTTTCCTCTCTCTCTCTCTCTCTCACCCTAACCCTCTCCAACTGGTACTGACAGTTTCCACTTAACTTCCTACACTCATTCCTTTTATTCAGTGTGCTGACTGTTCTGTTCATTTCTATCGCCTCCCTAATATTTCACTTACTGGCTGGTATAGTCTCCATATCCAGCAAAGCGTTTTGGCAATAGACCAAATCTTTCTGGTGGACTGTGCCAGCCATGCGTTCGGCCATTTCTGATTTTGGGGACCATAGACCTTTGCAAACTGTTTTGTGTTCAGATAACTTCTTATATATGGGCCCACAGATCTCTTGCACACAGGCGCTGCCACATGAACACAAAATTGTGTAACATGCCGATCTGAAGAGAGGGTCGGAGTATTCTTTAAAAAAGGCAATACCGAGGAAAGTGTTATTTTCTTTTTTTAATTAGTCCTGATTTCCCACCTCGTCAGTAATTCGCCTATCTTCTTCCTCAGACTTCACGATGTCAACATAAGGAGCACTCTAACCTTTTGTCTAACCACAAATCTGTATTTCCCTCCATCCTATTTCAAGAACATTCTAAAATATTTGTCAACCAGCCCTCCTGGATAATTATTCTCAACCAGAATTCGCCTTAATCTCCTCACTTCCTGGTCCCAATGTTTAACATATGCCAGGCGCAGGCTCCTTATTAGCGTAGACTTTATAGAAATTCAAAAGGAAACCTGCATTTGTGGGTTTCATATACACATCTCGACATAATCTGGTCCCTTCTTTGCTGACTGGGATATCAAAAAAAGGTAACCCCCATTCTTTGATGACTCGATGGTGAATTTCGTCTTCCCATCGGTCCTGTTCATCAAACCAAGACAATTCTCCTGGTTCTTTTTCTATGTTGCCAATTAGCAAAGTAGTCGTCCATATAAGGAACCAATAATTTAGGAACTAAAAGTGCCTTCTAAATTACGCGTTCCTCAAATTGAACCACGTAATTATCTACTAAAATTGGTGGCAAACACGATCCCATAGCTAAACCTCGTGTTTGTTGGTACAATTCTACATTATAGACCAGGTTGGTCTGTAGCATTATTTGTTAAGTAAAACTGGGTTTCGAAGAATTCCTTAAAGAAATATTGTGGCATGACTCTCCATTTGGAAGGGAAAGTTGGTTGGAAGGAAACCGGAGGAGGATTATCGCGTAAAGAAGACTGTTGAATTGTGCCAAGAAGTCCTCGCCTCACCGTCCTGCGACTTCGATGAAACTGAGCTAAGCTTTCGTCTGTACTGTGACAGACATCACAAGAACAAGATTCCATACTTTACGAAATAGGTTATTGGAAGTATTCTCTAATTATTTACTTCAACCTTAATCCACATGCTTGCAAATGAGTGAAGTTAACTTCCCTTAACCGGAAGTGCGTTCGATGGCAACTGTTTTATCACACAAAAACTAGCGTACTATCGCATAATGCTGAATCATGTTTTGGGCTTGTGCTATGATCCATTGTTTGTATGCAATACTCATGTCATGGGGATTATGATTGTCCTAGCCATACATAAGGCTAATCCAGCCTCCTTCTCTTGCTCACTGGCTCTTCCTGCACCCTCTCTCTCTTCCTTTCCTTAAGTCTATCCAACAGCCACAAAAATTTCCTACTTAGTTTTCTGAACTCGTGCCTTCTATTGAGAACGTTGGTTATTTTGTTCATTTCTATAGACTACCTAATCTTACTGTCTGATGGGAAGTCGCCATAACCCGCAAAACGTTGTGTTTTGGACCAGTCTAGTGAGTGTCATGTATTGTCAAAATGTGTTCAGCGAGTTCAGATTTTTAGGCCCATATACCTTTACAAGCGGTTTTGTGTTCACATAGCCTCATGTGAATGGGTCGGCAGGTCTCCCCACATATAACTTACCACATTAGCATGATCTAGAAAGAGGGTCTGAATATTCTCTAAACGAAGGAGCTGCTGAAGAAAGTGTGGATTTCTTTTTATACATTGTTTTTATGTCCCATTTCGTCAGTAGTTCACCCAACTTTTTCGCAAGCTGACAGGAAGGCAAAATCAGGAACCGAGTAGAATTGTCCAGTTTTATATCCCGCGCCTGATAGCAAACTTCCCTAAACTTGTTAACTACAATTGACATGTAATTGTCTACTAATCCAAATGGGTAATTGTTTTGAAACTGTATATTCCTCAATCTATCAATCTCCTGGTCCATATGGTCTGCATCTGCATCCTTATTATCATAGACTGCATAACTCCTCTTTTTACTTTATATGTATGGTTCGAGAAAAATTAATACTACTACATATTAAATTAGCGTTACATACACACAATAGACAATATCAAATACCCCTAAATTTGTTAGCTACAATTGATATGTAATTGTCTACTAATCCTAATAGGTAATTGTTTTGAAACGGTATATTCCTCAATCTATCAATCTCCTCATCTCTATCGTTTTCATCTGCTAGACGCGAACACCTTATAAGCATAGATATCATAACTCCCATTTTACTTTATAAGTATGGTTTGAAAAAAAAGTAATACTACTATTCATGATATGAGCATTACATACACACAATATATAATAGCACAAGTCCAATCATGATGCCGGCGAAACGTCTGGGAATGTACCACGTCCACGGTCCTACTCTGGAAATGATGATGCGTACAATGAACTCCGGACAAGGTGCGTCCCTATAAGTCTTCCTACCAATATAATCGAGTTACGAAAACAAGGTCAAACAACTTGTATACAACGAAAGGAGACTGCGACTACACAAATGACCACACCAGCTTGGTCTGCATACCTTCGAGTATAATTTTATGTTTAAATGGGTCCTAATTGTAACTCAATCCTGAGATGTGCTCTGAAGTACTCGCTTAGTTCCATTAGGCGAATTCGATCCATCGATAATACAAAATATAGGAACAACCCTATGAGCTAAACATATTTGCAAGTAACGAATATGATTAACGAACTGAAAGATACTCCAGCATTAGGGATTCTTCGAAACTCAATTTTTGTACATACCTAAATTGTGCCTAGCCTTCGTGTGCCATATGATGCGCATCATCAGAGCAGGGTATTATTCATACTACTAACTTCGAGGGAATGAGTCGAATTTGTATAACTTGCTTTCTCAAATATGGTTACATAAAAGATGCGAATAAAGAATACGTGGGTTTCGAAGAATTCTTTAGTGATTTTTTGCCTTTCTACGGAAATTTTGATATAAAAGAGTTCGTGCATTAGTGTCATATGTTTGATTGTTTAGGCATGGAGACAACTGCCTCCACATAAATTTTGTATGCATTCATCGCCTTCATCTATAGGAATGTATAATAGGCATGAACTAACCAACTCAATCATGCGCTACCTCCACATAAGAATGGCAAAATTAATAATAAGTACTCAGTGTAATTGAATAGTATCACCCTTAGTCTCTTGTCTTATGTTATTTGCTGCACTTTCTCGTAGATTATTGTTTCTCGCTCGCATAATGTCTTTAACGGTAGTAAGACGAAGCCTTAGAACAAGTTCATCGGGGTGGCAGGAGGGTGAGCCGAGAGCCTATTCAAACAATTCAACAGTCTTCACTCCAATCCAAGCAATCCTCCTCCAGATGAAACGTCATGTCACACTATAAGAATATTACCATGAGGATTACCGTGATGTCATCACCATGTTCGACATACGACGGATGGAAGCTTGAAACTTATTCGCCAGAGGCAAAGGAGATTGCCTCGGGGACTGTGTTGACCAAAAGGTTCCAGTAAAACTAACCCAAAACCGGCAAATAGGAATCTGCCAATGTCTGCTGGTGGGATCGATTTTCGCATCTCTTCCTCATTCAATTGCCTTCGAAACGGAAGTGTGCCCCAGAATTGTAAATAAAGACACCCACTCACCTACTTCATCTCTGCAAACAGTCATCGAGAAAGGGTCACAGATAAGGGTCTCATGCAAAATATAGGCAGATGAATAGAGATAAAGAGAGAGAGAGAGAGAGAGAAAGAGGAATCAAGGGAGGGAGGGAGAGAGAGCGATTGCATCACTTACTCCTGCAGACAGACAAGCAACGGAAATTTGGATTATAAACACATGAATAGGAGTCTTCCACACTCAAATTTTTGGGGCGCACTATGTTGAGGCATCTGGTCAGATGAACTGGGTTGGGGTCAGACGAAATGATGCATGGAACAATGGCGCGAGTTCGAATGTGCCTGTGACTATCATGTTGTTGCACCTTGCCTCTCTTCCGAAAGTGCGACTGGAAGGGATTCGTAAATCGGCCCGACCGGGAGACGAGGGAAGATTGCCTTGAAATTGTGGCTGTGAATTTGTTCGAGGGTCTTCCTCTGTCCCACTGATACAGGGTTTTGCAGAATTTTCGTAAATGCTGAATCCTCTGGCAGTCGGGCTCATTTGACGAGATCAACGAGTTCATAGGACGATTTGTACGAGGCCTCACGCACAACTCCAAAGCAAGTCTCCTTCGGTTCCTGAGGAGGCCAATTTTTTAATCTTCATTTGGGCTATGATGAGCTATGGTTGATCACTTCATTTATGAAAAAAATTGGGGGTTCGGCTAATTTTTGGAGATTACATTTTTACGGAGACTTTAATTTTATATGAAATTGCCTGATGAAGAGCTTCTTCGGTTGATATCGCTAGAAGACGACAGCTGAATTCCGTTCTTCCGCTTCCATATCTGGCCTTAATGCAGCATTTTGGTTGCCGTTGCCCACGAGACCTTCTCTGAAATGAGTGAGAACGTCTCGTAGACGTCGTCAACTTTCTCATTTTACCAAAAGTGATACTAACTCTAATGAAATGTCACTTTCTCTGACTCACTATTATCTATTTCACCTTATCTTGCCTCGAACACTTGCAAGTGTTTATTAGGTCGTCTCATTCACACGCACATACACACAGAGCTTCCAATCTGCACATCGAAAGACGTCTCGAATTCTCCGAAGCGACCCATTTTAGGCAAGTGAGTGGGCTCCGACACTCCTTACCTAAAAAAAGGGTGCCTTTTCTCTTGATACAAGCCTTGAAGTTTATTACAAATAACAGTTTATAAAGCAAATTTATACATACTGACGAATTTTTTATTATGAAGATTATTGTAGGAGTGGATGGCGTATATAATATAATGTGACTAATATATACAGTATTCTAATAATCCCTATTTCAGCGGTCGACTTTTCGATTCACAAACAAGCTCCCGAGATAGCCAAAATATGGCTCTCATCTCTTTTATACCATTTTTTCCTATTCTCATCTGTTTCTCCTTTTCGCCCCTTTTCTCGAACCTCTCCACCGTCTCAACCTCTTTACAATAATCTGTTTTCTTTTCTCGCTCCTCTCCCAACGGGCATCAGTGAGCAACACACAACCGGGGCATCTCGCATTGCGGGCTTCTGAGAGGCAGTTCTTCGACTGGCCGGTCAGACTGTCCATCCTCCGACCTGCGGCACATCGCCTCGAGTTGATCGAGGCCTGGCAACCGGTAATCTGTAGCCTCGTGACAGTGGCCTGCTTCACCCAGCAACTGGCGGCCACAGTCTCTGACCTCATTTGCCTCCAGGCTGGACTCCTTATTGGTCAGATCGTCGTTTCCCAGTCTCCTTTCGGCCGCCTTTCGTGAGGGGCCCAGCAGCGCCGGACCGCCGGCTCTGGCGCGACAAGCCAGGCCCGGCTACTGCAGCCCTGACGCTGAGGCTGTCGCCTGCCTGTTGCCACGGCCGGAGGAGACGGTCAGACGGCCTGGGCACTCGAACGGCGAGGCGACGGCGACGGCAACGGCGACGGTTACGACAAAAACCGGTAACGAGGCCGAGGCCGAGGCAGAGGCAGAGGCAGAAGAGGCGGGACGACATCACGTCTTTCTGGGTTCTGCTGGCGCCGAGAAGACCGAGTGGCGTCCCGAGCCGACCGAGTCGAGCGGTTGGAGCCGCCCTCTTCACGCGGTCTATGGCCAATTGCCGCGTCGCCTAGGCAACGTGTACAGTCCGCCGGTAACATCAAGCCAGACGCGTCGGCAACAGGCCATGGTCGCCGTGGCGACGGCTGGTCAGGCTCGGAGCGGCCCAGATGGCGGAATGTTGAAGTCGCAGACGAGTGGTCTAGACACGGCGGCCGACAGTCTGGGCGGTCTGCTGGCGGCGTCGAGGCGAGCTGAGCCGAGCCTTCTGATTGGTGCCTCAGCAGAACGGGAGACGGCGAGCCTGACGGGCCAATCAGCGGTCGCCGGCACGGCGACGGCGACGGCGACGGTGACGTCGACGGCGGAGGATGAGGAGGAGGGCTTCGAGGCGGCCAGTC